GTTTAGAGCACTTTATCATGCTGTATCCTTCCGTGAATATCAAATGAACAGGTTTCTGCAAGCTGGATGAATACGTTTTGCCATTGATGGTGCCATTAACATGCATTCAGTGTTTTTATTTGGATCCTGGCTTCATCCTTGGTGGGGGTCCCGTCAGCGCTGCTTCCATACGCTCTTTGCAAGGCCTTCTTGGGTCATCGAGTAACTCTCAGAATTGTTGCTGAAATCGTGTCTTTGTCGTGGCAAGAATCCTTAAACCTTGCGCTTCCGTGAACATGAAAACCTCTTATGGTATATATATATATGTGTTGTAGATATAGATATAGATATATGACAGTCGCATCATGTCTCTGACTGTGCAACCTTGCTGGTCCGTCATGTTCTGCTTTCAATGCCTTTCCAGGTAACTGTGCCCGTCGTTGTCTGCAAGAACTCTATAGTTGTTACAATATATATATATATATACATGTAATTTATACACTGATACAAAGCAATATGACATGTGGGTGACAAAACTGGTTTAGTAAAAGTAAAAAGGTCAAGGAAGTCGTCTTAGTCTTTGCCAACAAAATAATAGATTGCAGCGTAGCAAGTCCGTGGTCAAGAGCCGTCAAAATAATCTTACACATACCTACCTGCATGTCAAGACTGGCAATGCAGCCTTGATGTTCGACGGTGTGCTTTGAGTATGTTCTGTATTTGCATTCTTGTGCAAGAGTTGTTGATGCGCTGAAAATTGGTCTGCGCTTTGGGGTCGCTGAGGCCACTGCATCCTTGAAGTCCAAAAATCCCTGGTATGCCTTCTCAGCATCTGCGCCGTTGACCAAGGACTTCATGTAAGCAGGAACCTTGGGGTCAGTGATGTCTTTCACTGAGTTGTACACAGCCATGACCTTTTCCTTTGGCACGGAGGCCACAACGCGGCCAAGTGCGGCGTTCACTGCGTCCCAGTCAGCGCGGGAAGTCACACCATTGGGACCGCTGATGCTGCCAATGGCTTTGTGGTGAGCCTCAGCCGCTGCCTTCAAGAGCTTAGGGTCTGCTGCTGCTCCCATTTCAATCATCTTGTCAATGGCCTTGAGAGCCTTCAAAGGCTGAAACTTTCCTGGAGCTTGCAAGAAGATTCCGTTGTTCCAGTCAACCTCCTTTGCGAAGGCATAGGAGGCATCACCAAGTTTCTTGGCCGCGTCTCCGATCTCATCTGCAAAGGCCGCTGGAGCCAGCATCATGCCGGCAGCCGATGCTGCTGCGACAGGAGCAGCTTTACGTAGTGGCCCAGGCACAAAAGTCAAGCTGCAAACGTTGCAGACGGCCACGACCGCAGCCGCCACTGTCAACGCCTTCCACGCAGAACGTGCCATGATGGTAGGGAAAATAAGAACTGTGCCTGGGTCACTAGGGTCCAAAACCTTGAACCAAATGCCGAAGCACACATCAGATCTTGATATCACCAACGAAGCGCTGGACCATGAAACCTTAGACCAGGAGATTTGTCGCCGAAGTACCTTGCCCAAGCACAATTCCATTACTTGACCGACACCTGGCAAATGCTGCGCTCAGGAGGAATTGACCTGCAGTCTTTTCTGTCGCCTGGGTTGCATCGTCTAGCATGAAAAAAATGGTGCACATTTGAGCACCAGGACCCTTAACGCCTTAACGCTGGGCAGCCTCAACGGCATCCTTGAAGGTGTAGAAGCCCTTGGCCGCAGCAAGTGCATCAAGTGGGTTCACCTTTGAGAACATGTTGTTGGTGACCTGTCCATCCGTAATGCTTGCCATGGAGTTGTAGACATCCATCACAGTCGCTTTTGGCACCGAGGCAACAATACGTCCAATAGCTGCGTTCACAGCCTCATAGTCTGCAGCAGACGTCACTCCCTTCCCATCGATGCTTCCGATGGCCTTGTGATGCGCCTCAGCTGCAGCCTTCAGGAGGTTTCCGTCCATCTTGCTACCCATGACAATCATCTTGTCAATGGCCTTCATGACCTTTGGCGCAGTGGTGTCGGGAAGCGGCTTCAGGTACACATCGGACAGCCAGTCGACTTCCTGACTCTCGTGATGGTTCCCAAATCGAGTCTCAAAACACGCTTTGACCTTTGGCATGGGAAGCCTTAAAATCAAGAAAAAAAACTGAGAAAAGGTTGGTGCACCGTTTCAGAACGAACACGATGACAAACAATATCACACAATGTCCTTCAGGAAAGGGTATGATGCCTTGGAAAGTGCCTTTGCAGCAACACCAATGCTGTCGCCGGAAGGCACAGTGGCAGGAGCGCTGGCTACAGTGACCTGGTTCTTGGCAACAACCTTGG